TGTTGCAAACTAGCAGGAAATGAAGAAAAGTTCATCTGACAGACGGTTCCAGGTTGTGAAACTCTTAGAGGGAATTTTAGGACGTYTGGCAGGAGGCAGCTGCAGTGAGTGATGACGTGTTTAAACGGAGCGTCTGAGTAATAATTATGCGTCTTTGTTTACTCTAACTCCACGTCTTCCAATGCCACATGCAGCGGCCTGTCAATCAACCCCTCTGGCTCCGCCCCTGGATGAGCCAAACAAACTCAGACTCTCTGTAAAGATTGTAAACGGTGATATTTCCACCTGTTAAAGAGCTCAGAAGGGATGTAGAGTGATATTTTAATTCAGAACGTAACTTTTACCTAAAATAAATCAGAATCTAACAGTTTAACAGAGGAGAGGGACAGTCGCTGTGATAAACAATAAAAGGCTGTTCTTGGCCTTCCTGTCATTTCCTTTGGAATCTGGGTGGTTATATTTAGTCCAGGGCTTTGTCCACCGTAGCCTGGAGAATATGAGCCCGTTTTTTTTGCCCAGGAACGTACCGTACAAGCTCAGGGGCTTCCTCATCTTGGCCGACTCGAGTCCCACTGAGCCCCCTGGGAATACTGATGACTGCTGCAGATGCAAATGAGGAGAACTTTCCTCAAGGTCGAGCAAAGATTCACACAGAGCTAATGAAGTCAGACGGCTGCAGCACAAAGATCCATCCCTTCAGGAGGAAAAAAAAAACTGTGCTTTTTATCTTCTTTTTGATTTCTTCTCTTCAAAGTTTAGCTGATAATGATAAACTTCATATTTACAGTGATTACAGACATGATTCATCAACAAAATGATTCTAATAATGTGAATTATTATCAGGCTCTCGACATTTTGCTTCTGTATGCTTTTAGGCACATCACTCGTTCTGAATTTCTTGTGCCATTTCAACAATTCGTACATCAAAAACATTCGGCTCTTCCAGGAAATTCAGGCTATGATTTTTGCTTTTTCACCAATTTATTCTTTTTGAGATATTTAGCTTTTTCTGTCATTTTTGTTCTTGTTAAAATAAATGGAGCCATCTTTAACATCTTTAAAATCCCTCAAAATGTAAAAAATATTTTCTGAACTTTTTACCTTTTGTTCTGTTTCTGCTTTTTTAAACATCTTTGTGTTAATTTAAGCTTTTTTTATTTTTATTTTTATTATTATTTTTTTGGTATTTTTAGCTTTTTTCTAATTTCCTGGCTATCTTTCTACTCTTTTTTGCTATGCTGATTAAAATTGTGCTT